ACTGGCTGAAGACCAGCTCAGGAAGATAGTTAAGGTAACCACATTAACTGGAACAGTTCGAACTTTTATTGATTAATCTGTTTTTTCATTGTTTGTGGTGGTTTTGTAGCGGTTAGATTTAGTTTTATTGCAGTTATTGCACTATAATAAATCATCCACATTTATGTTGTTTGCAGGAGCGTTCAGTGCGTCAGTTCCTCCTCACTAACCTGGAGGAGCAAAATGGTCACTATGGCTGGAGGGTTAACCTGGAAGCCATCTCAAACCACCTTGAGGACATCATAGGTTTTCCTGATTTTAATACCACCTATGAGGGTCCAACTCTTTTCTTGGGTGGCAGTAGTTCAGCCTATATAAGGTAATTTAAACTGCTACTTGTAAACATGTGCTAATTTAATCTCTCTATATTACTTGTGAATATTTGAACATTTTAAATGCATGTTTATTTAAGTGTATATCTGTTTTCTTGCTATGGACCCCTTGTTATTCTCTTAGCTCGGAAAATTACCCTGAAATCCAGAGGCTTTTTCCTTGTGCCGATATCCAGTACATCCCAGATGCCAGTCACTGGATTCACGCTGACAAGCCTTTGGATTTCATCAGCTCCATAATAACCTTCTTACACTCATAGTTCTTGTCTCAGGAGAGGATATGTACAGGTGGGCCCAATCAGAAAAGAACAGTGAATGAATTGTAAGGGTATGGACCAAGATGACTTTTACTGAGTTAAATCTATCCTTATAATGCACAACTGAATCGTTACATAATTCCTGATAGTTAGTCTATTAAGTTTTTTAATGTGGTATTTGCACTGTGGCTTAGTTAATATAGTACATTAAATGCGATTCTATCAAGAGGATATATGATTTTCAATCAAGGACATTTGTTTGTAGCTCTCAAGTATAACATGTTACATAACAGTGGATCCAGTGGCTTTAAAAAACAAATTACTTTACCTTATATTTAGTTATAATTTTAAGCATATTGTTAACATGGACACCCTTTTGCTGTTCTCTGATAAGAAATACAAAGATGTGTATGCAACAGTGTGTGACTTATTTAACTTTCAAGCCGAAAGCGTCTCTCACAGACTCATCTTAAGATCCGATAAGACCACAACACTTTGATGTACAGCCGTGGCTGTGTTTGAATTTGTACTCTTTTTCTGGAAACAGAAAATTAAATTGTTTGTGAAATGTTTTAATTAATGCTATAGGGCATAATAGATTAGCTTTCTTTGTTATTTAAAAAACTTTTGAGCCTGTGTTGCAAGTTAGGTGTTTTATTAAAAAAATGTGTATGGCTTTACAACAAACAAAGTTGCTGCAATGTAACTAAGACACCTTTCAGAGCATCAAGAGTTCTGATGTCAGGTACTACATCTCTGTTATCAAGGATAAATACAACTGTTTTACTAAAAATCTTTCTCTTTTTTGGCCCTGGGTCCATTTCTTTCAAGCCCCTTGTTCTGAGTTTTAAAACTAGTTCAATGTATTTAGCGAATAATCAATAAACAGATCAAATATTTAAGCATGTGATAAAATACCTGTTTTGGTGCTTGTTCGACAATTAGATGCCACACAATTTAACTTTTTATAACATGTATAGGTATGTTAGTGTGATTTATTACAGAGAGAACAATGTGCCATACCTCTGCACATTGGTTTTGTTAGGTTTATCAGTAGGTTTATCACTGTTATGGATAGTTATTGACGTACCAAAGCAGGGGTTTATGGAAAGATTTTCCTCGACCAGTTGTGTGCTGACATTGTGTGTGGCACACATTTAAAGGAACACTCCACTATTTTTGAAAATAGGCTCATTTTCCAACTCCCCTAGAGTTAAACAGTTGAGTTTTACCGTTTTCGAATCCATTCAGCCGATCTCCGGGTCTGACGGTAGCACTTTTATCTGTAGCTTAGCATAGTCCATTTAATCTGATTAGACCGTTAGCATCTCGCTCAAAAATGACCAAAGAGTTTCTATATTTTTCTTATTTAAAACTTGACTCTTCTGTAGTTACATCGTGTACTAAGACCGACGGAAAATTAAAAGTTGCGATTTTCTAGGCCGATATGGCTAGGAACTATACTCTCATTCCGGCGTAATAATCAAGGAACTTTGGAAGAGTCAAGTTTTAAATAAGAAAAATATAATATTTCGCAGCGCCTGAAAATAGTCAAAGCTAGGTAACTTCCAATAAGCCTATTTTCAGGCGCTGCACCCGTGGTACGGCAGCAAAGGTCCTTGATTATTATTTGATTATTAATGCAACTTTTCATTTTCTGTTGGTCTTAGTACACGATGTAACTACAGAAGAGTCAAGTTTTAAATAAGAAAAATATAGAAACTCTTTGGTCATTTTTGAGCGAGATGCTAACGGTCTAATCAGATCCAATGATCTATGCTAAGCTACAGCTAAAAGTGCTACCGCCAGACCCGGAGATCGGCTGAATGGATTCGAAAACGGTAAAACTCAACTGTTTAACTCTAGGGGAGTTGGAAAATGAGCCTATTTTCAAAAATAGTGGAGTGTTCCTTTAAGAATTCATGTAAATGTACTGTTTTTGGCAGTCTTTAGGATAAAAACTGCTGTTATAAGGGGATATTTTTGTTCATTGTGAAAGTGTCGATGTTTGTAAATTATGAATATTTTGTATATTCATATAAAGTCCTGGTTATATAAATGTATACTATATTAAATATATATTTATTACTACAATATCGTAATAATTGATAAATCAAGAAATATGCTGCAAAATTACACATCCTTAATGTCAGCGTGTGTTCTCTCATGTCAAGTAATAATTGTATTGAATGTGTATGGTGGAACACTAGAATCATAGCACTGCTATTGCTTGTTATGTCTATTCAGACACTTTTTTTTTTTTTTTTAGATATTTGTGTTTACATGGAACTGTATCTTTCGGGATTAACTGAAGTTTACTGCCAGTGATTATCAGCAGTGCTAGTTCATTGTCTTTTGCTAGATACCCAGCTAACAGGAAACATTCTCAGGACGTTGGCATTCAAACATTCTTAGAAAATTCCAGTAACTACTAAAATGTTCATTCAGAGTTATTTGGTCTTTAATAATGTTCTCAAAACATCAGCACAAAAATATCCTTCATGGAGTGTTTTTTTCCTGAAGCATTTTAGTTGGATGTTCATGTAACATTTTTTATATGTTACTACTTGTTTCAGAATTTTCAGAGAACATTCAAAGGTAACCAGTTTCCAGAATGTTTACAAAATGATAAAACAGAATGTTTGCTTAATTGAATGTTTTGAACATTTAGAGAACTTTCAGAACGGTACTTAATGTTATCATTAGCAAAACATTATTTGAACATTTTTCTGTTAGCTTGGTACTTTATTCGGCTAGATAAAAACAGAGACTTGGGTCTTTATTGATCCTGTGAAAACATTTTTTAAGATTTTGCCTGAACTTTTAGCAGTTCAATGGACTGTTCCATAAGGCTAGATTAACGGATCTCAAAAATGAACATTGAGAATACAGTGTATTTTCATTTTTATTCCCTCATTCTTCCTTATGAAACAGCCCTTTGATTTGAAGAATGTACATGTATGCAATACTAAAGAGATGAATCAGTTGAGAACGTAATGCACAGACATTTATGATGTTTTTAACAATATAGTATCTGCTGAGCTTATTCACAAAGTACAATGAAATTAATATATAGATTTTGGATTTACCTTGGCACCCACAGTACTTGATATATTTTCACTGTACGTAATTCGAGAGTCAGACCTATTCTTGTGGCTTCATGCATTATTGTTTGTTTGAAAGTGGAGGTAACTAAATGTATTGTTCTAATTGATACACAGTGATACTGGTTCTTTGTTTTATTGATCTAATGTCATGAAAGAGTGTGTGGTCATTCAGGCAGTAACAGTATGAGTCAGCGTTGAGCAGTTTGTATGGGTGTATTGCCTTTGCATGCTAGAGTGTATCTGTGCAGATTTGTTACTACTCAATAAATGTACAAGTCTTCAACCTGCTTATGTGATTGATTTGCACTGTCTATATATTTTAAACACATATACAATGCTGTAATTCCACTACTTTATTCCTATCAGGGGTAGTGGTCATCGTGACTTGTTCTTTTCTCATTTTGATCTTAAGAATCTTTCCATTTAGGAAATTGTGGGGAAAAATAGCACACAGGAGGTGACATTGCAGCTGTAGTTTCCCTTCAAAGTTGGCTGCACAGTTACTGTCAGAGCCTGTAAAAATTGCTTAGCAGCTGAACTGTTAATAAATGTTGTGGAATGAGATTCATCATATTAATGCTAAAATGTTAGCATTTTTAAGGGAAAATTGGGTGGTTTTGCACAGCATCCATCATGCACATAGGTAAAATGGGGTGGTTACATACAGTAACTGTGGACATGCAGGAAATACCAACTGACGACAACCTTTCATGTTGGTCAGTGAAAACAGATCTCGGTAGTATGCAAGTATGAAGTAGAACTGTTCTACTGTTAAAAAAGTTGAGGTCAAGGTTTTTGGTTTGGTGGGTTTTTGGTTTTGTTTTTAAATAAATTAATACTTTAATTTCTCAAGAATGCGTTAAATTGATCAAAAGTGGCAGTAAAAATATTTATAATATTACAAAAGATTTTTATTTTGAATAAATGCTGTTATTTTAAAAATTTTATTTTCTTTAAAGAATCCTGAAAAAAAAATGTTGCAGTTTCCACAAAAATATTAAACGGCACATTTGGATTTGGATCATGTGACACAGAAGACTGAAGTAATGGCTGCTGAAAATTCAGCTTTGCCATCACAGGAAGAAATTATATTTTATAATGTATTCAAATAAAACATGATTTTTTTATTGTAATATTTCAAAATATTAGCGCTTCCTAACCCCAAGCTTTTGAACAGTAGTGCAAATGACCATTGAGCATATTAAAACCCAGTGTGGATTAATAATTAAATTATAAATATTAAATAATAAAAAAAACCTCCCTGAATAGGTTATTCCAAAGAGCCTTTATAAATCAGTCTTGAATTGTATATTGTTGTTTCTCTGTCACCTTTATTCCCTTTTCTTAATATATTACTAGGAAGTCCATGACTGCAGGTCAACAAAACCTTTTAGGATTCTCAGCACAACAGTCACATAAACATCACCTCTGCAGTGAAACGCATATCCAGGAACATAGTTCAAATGTGTCAAAACATTATTCATAATATTATTTACATCCTTAGCATTGACATCCAAAGTGTGGTGAGGCAATATGATCAAAATCATTGAACAATCAATATGTGAGATCATCCATATAGTTTACACCAAAACATCTTCATCAGTCCAAAGAAACCGTTTGAAAATTGTCCGCTTTGTCGCTCCTTTGTGGCTGAGACTCGCCAGGTTCTTGTGTGCTGACTCTTCCGAGTCTGAACTTGTCTTTCCATCTCTGTGTTCCTGCAGGTGATGGAGACTGGGGGATCGGGACAGAGGCATGCATCAGGGAGGAGCAATCAGGTTTGGGAGGAAGGGGCTTATTTGAGCGCCGCAGAACACCGAACCCTCTAGACTTCTTCTGAGCCTGTTCTTCCTGCTGCTGTCTGAGGAGCTGGTGATGAAGAATGGTCTGTACGTCATCCTGTAAGAGACATGGCAGAGTTCACTGACTGCATAATTGCTTTTAAGAACATTCATGAGGAAAATCAACATGACCAAATCACATCCATGAGTGTTTTCAAGAGTCCAGATGACAACAAAACGTTCAGATCCAACAGTCCTGCAAGGACGCAGCCCTAGATGTTCTCCCAAAACAGATTACCCTTCTACTCTATTCATAGTGTATTCAATTATATTAATAATGAAATGTGTATTTTCTAGACTTTCTAAAAAAAAAATACAGAAAAAAAACTAATAAGTCTGTATCAAATAATATTTCTTTCCTTCTTACTTTAGACAAATATTCAAAAGCAAAAGTAGGTAAATTTGTACAATTTTTACTGGAGTTAAACATACTTTCCAGGCCTCCAGCTCTATGGACAGTTCTAGTCGACTCTGAACAGCTTCCAGAAGTTGATTGTTCAGTGTCATTAGTTCGTTTTTGCTTTTCAGTAGCTCAGTCTCCATTGCTTGTTTCCTGCATTAAAAAAACACACATTTGCATTCACTGTTTCATACACCAAAAACCAAGTTTGTCATCAGATTTTCATTCCTTATTCCATAACACAAACTAATTAGTGTTAGAGATCAACTGAACTCACTTTGCAATGGCTTCATCTCTGTCCCGTAGAGCTTGCTGTAAAATGGCAGCATCTTCCCCAGACTTATTTCCCTGTCAATAGTAGCAGATTTGTTTTAAAGGCCACCTATTATGCTTTTTTTGTTTATACCTATAATGTGTAATATAGTTGTTTGTGCATGTAAATGATCAGTAAAGATACAAAGTCCATATAAGTGGGAGTTAATATCGCCAACAGAAAAAAAAATGCCCTGAAATGCCTTGTTTGTAGTTCTGCCATTAAATAAGCGTTTGACCAATAAAGCAAACTGGGCTCTTGGAAAGGTGGGCTTTAAGAACTAAAAGAGACAGGGACTTAAACAAAGTGTTTAAGGCAAAGAGACGTATAGTGAGAAAAACTTTTTTAACTTAATTTCACGTAATTATATTCTAGCAGACCTCAAAAATGAAATTATAGCAATTATATTACAATTATATTGTAAATTAGCATAATATTAAAAATAATATTAATAATATTAAAAAGGCACTTAAAAAATGTCTTCAATTGTTCTATGAATAATAGGAGCATGAAATGGTTACGCAAGGCCTTACAATTGAATGGAGGGATGAGCATATTCAAAAAAGGAGGCGTGTCCCATATGAGCTGATGGGCGTGGCTAATGCTCACCTGAGAGGTGTGGTTAATGGCGAGACTCCGGGTCACTTTCTGCAGTTGAAGCAGTGCCTTGTCTAAAGGGTTAGCCTGGGACGGCTGATCGGCTTCTGTTGACTCTAAGTCTGTCAGAGGGAGTAGCAGCTTTACAACAGACTGAATCTCCTCTGCCACCTAGAAGCACCACAAAAACAATGAAGATGCAATTAGGACAAGCCCTTATTGCATAAATTAAATCACAATCCAGTCTGTTATAAACTGCCATCACTTATTATGAGAGGGTGTTCTAGGTTAAAGAACATTTTCGACTGTGGCATGACAAAATTGAGACTCACCCGTTGTCTGTTTTCACTCCAGCCGGGTCCGCTATTATTCTGCTGTTCCAGTCTATCCACCTGAGCCTTGAGCCTCAGACTGCGCCTCCGAGATAATTCCACTTCCCTTTTCACATGCTTCAGCTGCCGCCATAGAGAGAGTGTTTAAATGAGCACAGCATACAAGCTTCTATTGACATTCTGTAGGATTCAAGTAACTACACTTGTGGTGCACGTGTATGCCCACTCAGAATTATATCAGACTGACACATCTGCAAACATAAACAGAGAACGTCTTGTGCCTTTTACAACCTTGCTATTCTGGATTCTCAAAAAACTGAGACAGGTGGAATCTGGCCATGCCGGTGAAAAAAAACAGGAAGCATTCAGAACCAAATCTGAGATGACCTTTACTTCCTAGTGTGAAGTGATTTGTTTACTTAAATCTGCTGGAAAATGTTTATACTAAATGTTTCAAATGTCTGAGTATGGTGTGTCAAAAATGTCTGTGTTGTTTTAGTTTTAGTCAAACAGGCATCCTTAGGAAATCATTATAAATTCAGCCAGTAAATCCCACATTCCATTGACACTTAGTCAATGTGCTGGACATGGATTTGCACATAAATAAAAGATAAAAACCTCATGTTCATTATTAGCTTGAAAAAGAATTTGGATGAATGGAGAAAAGGCAGATGAACATTCGTTAAACAATGACTGGCTATCTGGTCCTTTCATTGATCTGGCCCTTTGTTTGTTTGGTTCAATGATAACATTTAAAATATGTTAAAATGAATAACATTTCTGATCACTTCAAACTGTTTCTCTGCTGTCCTGGCAGAGATGTGCTCCTAGATCACTTTATATTAGCATCATAATCAAATAAAAACAAGTATTTCAAATGACTGACATGAAAGTAGGGACCGATAGTTTGGATACAGTGATTAGCCTATTTGTCATGAAACAATATTAAATACAGGCTACATGTAAATAATGAACATAAAATAAGTTAAACATTTTAAATACTTCTTATGCATTTCTTTTGGAGTCTGGGTGAGGGATAATTGTAAATAGACATTCTGTCTGACTAGTCATTCAGTCAATTCTGTCAATTGTAATATTTTAAAACACTTTAAAATTAAGAAAATATAATGCAAAATATACAATAGCTATACATTAATATTAAAATTAATAAAATCCTTGAAAGGAAAATATGTCTGAAGATTTGAACATATTTAAGCATTTCTTATAGGTAAGTCTGGGTAAGGGATAATCCAAAACTAGCCAAATTCTGTCAAATGTAACGTTATAAAAATTTCAAAATTAATTTGTAAAAAAATTAAGTAAAGAGATATCATAAAAATGAAAGCAATTAAAATTCTTTAAACACAATAAGTCAAAAATTATTAACAAGTTGTATTCATTTCTTTCAGTGTCTGGTTGATAGGGTGAGAAGTCAAATTCTGTCAAATGTAACCTTTTAAAACGCTTTAAATTTAGCAACAAAATGTATTAAATAAATACGATAAAATGCAAGTATAGCTATAAATATTTTTTTCTTTAAAATTGGCTGATCATGAGGGACAGAAGGTGCGCCTAGCTGAATAATTACAGTAACTTCCCCTTTGTTCAGTCTGCGTTCACTGATTTTGAATCACTGTACTCATAATAAGCATGACTCACCGTGGCAGACACCGGGCTGGACACTCGTCTGCGAAGTGGGCTTCCACTCCGGAGCAGATCCGGTAACGCTTCATCTAAGTATGACCGATCGGACCTCGGGGGCGCGTTTGGGTCCGATTGTTCAGCCACTGCACTGCTGTCATCCACTGCCAGCTGTTCTTGTAACTCATCCAGTGTGCACAGCGGCGAGCTGTTAGACTCTCTGTCAGTGTCATGACTTGAAATGGAATCCTCATCGTCAGTTAATCGTCTGTGGCCTTCCTCAGTGGTCAGTGGTGATTCCAGGAGGTCCCTGAAAGTGCGCAGTCTTACTGGTGAATCTCTTCTATAGCTCTCCATTATCACCTAAGAGCGGCCAGAGCTGAAATGCATGTTCTTATCAGGAAAGAGAAGACTGAAACTTAGAGGAGAGAATGCCTTCAAACCAGTTTTTCCTGTCTTTTGACGCTCAGAAATGTGCGTCAACAACTCTCACAGGGTTTGACATCAGAGTTTACCTGTGGGACCGAGGCTTTTGTACCTCTGTGTACGCAGATTAATATAAATTTAGACGTGATGGTCGTGCGGGTTCAGGCCCTTTGATTATGTTAAGCTTTGAACACAACACTTAAGCTATAATTACATCTCACTAAGAGAGAAGTGGAAGCTAGAGAAAGAAATTGCATACATATTATAAAGGCTAAATGAATGCTGTTAACATGATCAGATATGTCTAAAGTAAACACATGGGTACATGCTGTTCCGTTCGGCTATGCCCTCACCCTTACTCAAATAACAGCTCGTTTATTTATAGTAGTGATGGGAGCACCGACTCATCTACGAAATGGTTCTTTCGAGTAGTTTGTCAAAGAACTGTAAAACGATTCAGTGATTATTTTACGTTGTTTGCCTAATAAGTGCTGTTAATAATTATTTTATTAAGGTTTATTAATAAAGGAGTTAATTGTATCGGTAATTTAATGTGTTCCAGTTCAGTTTTGCAGTCGCGATTCAGATTTTTTATTATTATTATTAATAAAACCTAGTTTACCGGAGACGAATCCGCCCTGAGCTATTTAGTTTTATTTAGCTATTTAGTATTTAGCAAACGATTAAATGTTCGGACTGAGAACCGGTTCGACCGATTCAATGATCCGATTCATAAGAACGATTCATTCACGAAACTGACATATTTATAACCAACGCTTCTGGACCGAAAACTGGTGCACTATTAAGGTTATATAAAGAAACGACAGGGAAACAATTAACTTCTAAGGCGTTTCGTTCTTGAGGGTGTTGCAACTTTATGGATGAGCAGAAGTAGGCTATAAACTATGAGCTTCCATAAAAACTAAAGGGCGAGCCGCTATAAAGGTGAGTGAACTCAGCTAGTTCAAGAGTAGACTGTGCTGTTTCCTTTCTTAGTTAATATAACCAAAAAATCACCACGAATTATGAACAAAAACAAAATTATTACACATTGTTATGAAATATTGGTGCAAACAATTTGACCCATGACAAGTAAAATAGGCTACCTGTGTTTGTGTGTATGTGATTAACTTTAAAAGGAAAAGGAATCTGAAGTACATCACTGGATATCAAAATGACAAAAGAGGAGGAAAACCCTGAGTGGGTTGGTGGTCAAGAATTTTACGACAAATATGAACCAAAGGAGATATTAGGACGGTAAGTGTCACCTATCTTGATGAGGTCTGTGTCTGGAAAAGGTAAATCTATAACAGTTTAGTCAGACTACATAAAATCTAACATCAAAATTAGGGATGCGCCGATCCGATATTCATATCGGGTATCGGCTTCGATAGTGCCATTTTTCTCGGATCGGGCATCGGGCAGAGAGAACCGATCCAAATCCGAGATTTTTTTCCCCCGATTGTGCGAATTATTCTGTGTTACTTCTGAAGTCGTACAATAGCTTAATGTGAGCTACATATGAATATTTAAGTCCTTACATTAAAGTTCACACAAACTCTTTTCTCCGCTGTGGCTGTCCGTCATTCGTTCAGCCTTTAAACCCTGGTCTCGTTCGGTTACAGCAGTCCGCTCGGTAAAGCTCTCTCCAAGATCATTCTGTGTTCCCATTGTACTTGATTTGTAAATACATGTCTATGATTTTGCAAAAAGGACTTTATCTTCTTGCCGGAGTTTAATGTTTTGTTACTTGCTACCAGGTGTCTGTGAGAACAAAACACGGGCGTAGAAAAGACTATAAATTGTTTTTAACGTGCACAGTAACTGAAATTTATAACTGTTAAAAGAAAGGCTCAATAAGTGTTGCACAGATATTATACTCTACGCATCAATTTCTCTTCCCTTTCCACATTGTAAGCGCTTGGTGCTCATAGACTGTCAACCCTCTATATTGCGAGTAAATCACTCGCATATGTGACTAAAATCTTCACTCTGGTGACTAAATGATGTATAATATTAGCCAATGGCTAATCAATTCTCAGATTTTACTCGCGAGTGTGTGAGTTGGATGCTTAGTATATGATTAGCACAGATATGTTTTCACCCACAGAACACTCTGATGAGTGCTTCAGAGTTTCACTCTCCGTCAAGCGATCTGTGATATTTTTCAGTTCATCTGAATGGATGCACAGCGCACCTGTGTTTGTGTATTTGGCGTAACTTAAAATCTAGTGTGAAGGCGCACGACTCGCCGTCGCTTTCTCTCACACACTCAAAGAGCGAGAGTCTTACATAACATGCAGAATTGATGCGCTACATGTAAACAATATACTTTGTTGTATTTTCCTGTAAAAATAACAGTTCCTTTGGAATTCTTCAGCATTTAAGAACTGCCGGGTCTTCCTGTAGTAGGCGGAACTAATGCGCAAACGACAATCTCATTGGCTGGTGCTCACCTAGTATCGTCCCTGTTTTGATTTCAGCAAATCAGTTCGAGCGAACACACAACCTGATTAATATTCATGAATCCAGTAGCTCATTAATCCTTAGTGCGTTTTTATATTGTTCTTATTAGTTGAATTCGTATAATAATAAGTATCTTATCAGTGTCATTGTTCGTTTTTTTTTACAGGAACACTGAATGACCAAAAAAAAAGCACCAGCACCAGTCCTAAGTTCATGGTTACCAAGTTTTAATTCTAATGACTAAACTTCTATTAAATACTTGATTATCATATTATAATGCTTAACTGACTGATATTAAGAGTGTACTTTCAGATATTTAAAAAGCTGTATCATTTTACAAACATTATATATATGTTTGTAAAATGGCATAACATATATACAAACCCGATTCCAAAAAAGTTGGGACACTGTACAAATTGTGAATAAAAACAGAATGCAATGATGTGGAAGTTTCAAATTTCAACATTTTATTCAGAATACAACATAGATGACATATCAAATGTTTAAACTGAGAAAATGTAT